CGGAGGGGCGGGGCCTTGGCGCTGACGGGCCCCGCCCCACAGTCTACCACGTGATCTTCATCTACTGCGCCGTTAAGGGCCACCGCGGGTTCCAGTTCTTCTACCTGCCCTACTTCGAGAAGTGAGCAGCGAGCGGACGGCCGGGCCCGGGAGTCACCCTGGAGTGGTTCACGCGGCCTTCCCGCAACCACTAGGGCGCCTTCGGACCCACATCTCGTGGGGAAAGACCCTCGAAACCCAGCCCCCTCGGAAGCTTGGTCAGGAATTCAGGGCGTGCGGGCTCCGGTCTTCCACTGGACTGGGAAGATGCCCTGCGCCTGCTCTGTGCCTTAACTTATTCCCAGACCTTGGGGTTACGGGGTTGGTATTATTTTGTGCTAATAAAATGGTAGTTGATACTAGAAGAGACCGTAGTTCTTTCCTTCCCCGGCTTCCTCCCAAAAAAGGTCCTCTCTCCCTCAGGGCACTTGCCTCAGGACTGCCAACCTCCCCCTTTATACAAAAGAGCCCTGATGCCCCAAGACTTGCCCAAGGTCACACACCTCATGTTGGAGACAGAGCTGGACCAAATACACAGCCCCTGTCTGTCTAGAAAAGCGGCCTGGTAGCCTACCTTAGTGGCCCTGACCAGACATGGGCCTGGAGAATAGAGGCTGGTATCCTGGTGCCGGCACCGAATGGGGGCCATGGCCAAGGCAGGGAAGGCTGGGAGACGCAGGAGTCAAGGCCCAGTGTCAGAGAATCCCCGTGAGCAAAGAATGCTAGAACCATAGAATCCTGGAAAAATCAGGGCATCTCAGGATCTGCGAAACCAAGAAAGTGCAAGAATCGCGAAATCTGAGATCACAACCACTCTTATCAAGCTCTTCTAAGGCATCAGAGTTTCCCAAACACTGAAAACTGTAATCCGCACTACCTCGGCCCATTTTACAGATGAGGAAGAAAACAGGCCATAAGAAACTGACAATGCCAAGGACAGCCATGGGTTACATGCAGCATTAGAAACAAAACCCAGGAATCCAGCTTTCTGTGACACTAGGTGGGAGGAGGAGAGGAGCTCTGGTAGCATGTTGTTGTTGTCAGGTGCCATCGAGTCGGAACCGACTCATAGCGACTCCATGCACAGCAGAACGAAACAATGTTCGATCCTGGGCCAACCTCACCACCGCTGCCACCCCCGAGTCCATCAATGATGCCACCTGGCCGATCCATCTCGTTGGAGGTCTTCCTCTTTTTCTCTGACCCTCCACCCTACCCAGCATGACATCCTTCTCCAACGATTGTTTCCTCCGGACTACATGTCCAAAGTAGGAGAGACGAAGCTTAGCCATCCTGGCCTCCAAGGAGCACTCTGGCTGCACTTCTTCCAAAACAGATCTATTGGTTCTTTTGGCAGTCCATGGCACCCTCAGTATTCTCCTCCAACACCACAACTCAAAGGCATCAATTCTTCTACGATCCTCTTTATTCACTGTCCAGCTTTCGCATCCATATGAGGCTATTGAAAACACAATGGCCTGGGTCAGGCGCACCCTAGTCCTCAAGCTGACATCTCTGCTCTTCAATACTTTAAAAAGTTCCTGTGCAGCAGATTTGCCCAGTGCAATACGTCGTCTGATCTCTTGACTGCTACTTCCGCGAGTGTTGATAGTTGATCCAAGAAGAATGAAGTCCTTGACAACTTCAATCCTTTCTCCATTGATAAGAATGTTGTTTATTGGTCCAGTGGTGAGGATTTTTGTTTTCTTGACATTGAGATGCAATCCATATCGAAGGCTGTGCTCTTTAATCTTCATAAGTAAATATTTCAAGTCCTCTTCACTTTCAGCGATCAAGGTTGTATCATCTGCAGGTAGCATAGTGGTTACAAAACGGGCTGCTAACCTCAGGGTCAGCAGTTCGAAACTACCCGCTGTTCCATGGGAGAAAGATGAGGCTTTCTGCTCCCGTAAAGATTTATAGCCTTAGAAACCCTGTACACAGGGTCACTATGAGTCGGAACGGACTCCACGGCACATAACAACAGGTAGAAAGAGGAGAGGAGCTAGCTGCACAAAGACTGATCCAATCCTGCTCATACTTACATATATGTACCATTACAACAGGCTACCACCCATCAGTCAGTTTGTCATACCTTAGTAGTATGTATGTTGCTATGATGCTGGAAACTACTGTGCTAGTGTTTCAAATACTGCCAGGGTCACCCATAGGGAACAGTCTCGGAAGAAAGGCCTGGTAATCTACTTCCAAAAACTAGGTGATTGGAAGCACGTAGATCCCATGGAATATTGTCCAGTACAGTCCTGGAAGATGAGTCCCCTAGATTGGGGGGCTGCAATAAGAAACTCAAGGTAAGGAGTCTAGGGCGTCTCTTGGAAAGAGTTACCTGGAAAGCAAAGATTTTGTCTCAAGGACAGGGGTCTCTTTGCTCCTCTACTGTATCCACAATGCCTGGGACGTAAGCAGAAGTCGCTCAGTAAATGTTTGTTGAGTTGATTCTCAGTGATGGATAATTTCTAAGACCTGTATACCCATTGCCCCCCCTCGGGGGGCCCAGAAGACCCCTGAGCAGCTATGATGGGCCCAGTTGCATATGACTCGACCCCCAACATCTGCTACTTGACTTCTACAAATCCCTGAAATCGCCTCTTGCAGGATGAAAGCATTAATCCCAAGACCTAGCCCATTTTGGGGTGTGGCGCTGCAAGACAATGCACTGAACCACAAGGTCGGGTCAGTGGTTCAAACTCAGCAGCTGCTCCTCAAAACTCCTATACAGGGTCACTAGGAGTCTGATGACTCGATGGCACTTCACAACAGCCACTAGTCTATTTTATAGTCTGTTGACTGTAAACAGACCACCTATAAAATCTCTGTGTTTTACTTCCTAATTAGCATGGCCCCTCCTAAACAGGTCATTTTCTGGACATTCCTGTCTATCCCTATGAATAAACAATGATGCTTTTTCCTCACTCAAAACTTTTTAAAACACAACAAAACCTTTGTCTGAGCATCGAGTTACGCCCTCGTCTTCTTCACTTGCAAGCCTCTTACCCTGCCTAACTTGACTGTCCCTCATCAGGAGAAAGCAAGAGCCCTCTCTTGAAGGACAGAGGTGTTGTTAGCATTCCCAGTAACAGACTCAAACAGACCAAGGATCCGGAAGAGGGCACAGAACCAGGCAGGGCTTCCTTCTCTTGTGCATGGGGTCACCATGTGTTGGAACTGACTCAATGTCACCTAACATAAACAATCAGAAAGGACCTTGGCCTGGTTTCCTCTGTGGCCAAAGCAGCCAGGTCAGTGCCTCCGCATTCTGTGCTTCTGTGTTGAATGAATGGGCTCTCAGACCCCGGCTCTTACACCAGCTTTCCAGGGCACACAATGGGGCCTCGCCAGCCAAGGCACTTGGCTGCACAGTTGGATGCAGAAGCCCCTAAACCCATAGCTCTCAAATCCCCTGTGGTAAAGGACCACTGTAATAACTTCTTACCCATGATGACCAATAGTTTTGTAAAATAAAAGGAAAATGAAAACACAAAGGCATACAGACTACACACCCAGTTTTATTTGTTTGTTTTTAAATCTCATAAAATTTTCCATCATAAAGTCAGAATAAACAGGAAAAAGAAAAGAATGACAAAAACCATACTTTGAAAGTGAACAAATAGGCAGTTAATACGGAGTCACTCTGACACTTTTTGTCATCCCACAATCTTAACTAAACAAAGTTGTTCCAAACATGCTGATTCTAAGACTGGTCTATATTGTTGTTGTTGTTAAGTACCATAGAGTCAATTCCAACCCATATCGACCCTAGTATAGGGTTTCCAAGGAGCAGCTAGTAAGCTTGAACTACCAACCTTGCAGTTCAAACAGCTTTGCAGTCTGGTGCATTAACCCACAGCGCCACACCTAAGTGCTGTCCAATCGATTCTGACCCATAGCACCCGATCCAGTATAGGGCTTCCAGGGAGTGACTGGTGAGTTTGAACCACCAACCTTGCAGTCGAGTGTTTATTCTACACCAAGACTCCAGGACTATGAAGTCAGTTCTGACTCATAGCAACCCTGTATAGGGTTTCTGAGGAGCAGCAGATGGGTTTGAACTGTCAACCTTGTGGTTCTCAATCCAGTGCTGATCATACAGTGCCACATCAGAAGTAGTAAGCACTAATATAATTGTTGTTAAGTGCCATCAAGCCAGTTCCTACTAATAGCGACCCTCAGCAAACTAGAGCCCACAGGCCAAATATGGCTCATAACTAAAAATGGTTTTTACATTTTTAAGTGATGGGGAGGGGAAGAAAAAGTTAAAGTTCAATAGTATTTTGTGACCCATAGCAATTATACGCAATTCAAATTTTAGTGTCAATAAATCATGTATTATTGCAACACAGCCACACACATTTGCTTACGCGTTGGCTGTTGGCTGCTTTGCATTACATACAAGCTCTAACTGCAGACTTGAGTATTTGCATCAGACCTCAAAGCCCATTTTCTGTCTGATCTTCCTGCCTTTCTACTTGCTTGCTTTGGATGCATTTGAACTCTCCCATTGTCACCAAGGAGCTCTGGTAGCGTAGTGGTTACAAATCAGGCTGCTAGCCTCAAGGTCGGCAGTTCAAAACTACCAGCTGTTCTGTGGGAGAAAGATGAGGCTTTCTGCTCCCGTAAAGATTTGCAGCCTTGGAAACCCTGTGCAGGTTCACGATGAGTTGGAACCGACTCCATGGCATACAACAACAACATTGTCAATAGGTTTTGACTGTGTCTCTTATATATCCTGCACTCAGCTGTGAGGAAGCGTCTGCTATCTGCACTTTGGTATCTACTCTCCCCTTCCTCCATAAGAAGAAATCTCGGGTTTTAGCTGGACATTGTTGTTGTTGTTATGTGCCGTGGAGTCGATTCCAACTCATAGCGACCCTGTACATATGGCCTCCCAAAAGGAGCTCTGGTAGCGTAGTGGTTAGGAATCGGGCTGTGAAACACAAGGTCAGCAGTTCGAAACTGCCAGCTCCTCTGCGGGAGAAAGATGAGGCTTTCTGCTCCCGTAAAGATTTACAGCCTCAGAAGCCCTGTTCGGGGTCGCTATGGGTCAGAACTGACTCAACGGCACTTAACACAACAACATG